ATATGCATAACTACGGTTTAATACATATATCATGACATTAGGCAATCATTACAGAACCTAAAAATCATGCTCCAACAATTTAAACAGCTAAAATAAGTCATAGCATTTAAATTCTCCAAATCATCCATAAATTGATACAGTTAAAAGCAAACTAAATACCAATTTAATACAAACTAAGCATAGTTAATTCCAAGTATATCACTATGCTTATAGCTTCGTTTAGGTATGATTCACCAGTATTAAAACATATATACAAGAATCTACAAGTTCTAGTATGTAAGTTGATTATCAACCAAAGTGCTACCTGTAGGGTTTTTTCCTAATTTCACATTGTCCCTTCCTTAATCCATTCGTGAATTATTGTTTCCCTACATTTTTATAGGTCCACAATACTTTCCTACACTATGTACTGCAACTTAAACGGACCAAAAATAGTCTGCACAGTCCAAACGCAGCCTAAACACCCACTGTACACAATTCTGGGCGAGAGTGGGCTAAGTTCCCAACTGAGCAGGCTATGTTCCCAACCCAGCCGGCTAAGTTCCCAACCCAGCAGGTGAAGTTACTAACTTAGCCGGCTAAGTTCCCAACCCAGCTGGCTAAGTTCCAACTTAGACGGCTTAGTTGGTGCTGAAGTCGTCTTCTTCGTTTGTTCAGCCTCTGTAAACCCTAAAACTTTATTGTTAAGGACTCTAAGCTTCAACCTAAGTCTCATACATCCATACTAAATTAATTTAAGTGTTTTAGTAGGCAAAGACTCAACTTCAAAAATGGTTCACGCTAAAAAATCTAAGAATAAAGAAAATCACGAACAAGCATTCAAAATCATGAAACTCTCTGTTTTAATCTGATTTAGCATGCATGACTATTTGTTTTAGCATTAATTAAACTCCTGGAGTCTAGCTAGGCATGCACAGAACACAAGTTTAAGGGAAAGAGACAGAATAGAGACTTGCCTTTGAGTTTCAGTCTGAAACTCTAAACCACCGTTTTCTGAATTTTCCATCCAACTCCCCACTGCTGCTCCACCTCCTTGTTCTTGGTTTCACCCACGAATAACCACCCCTTCCTCTGCCTTGGTCCAACCTTGATCCAAACCAAATCCTAGTTCCCTCTTCTGCCGTTCTCTCAAAACTCTTTCTGCCTCTCTATATATTCTGTTTCACAGAATTTTGATTATTTTTTTCTAAAACCCTAAACCATAGTATTGCTTATACTTATAGGTGAAATCAATAACCCTAGTTCACGTGTAATTAGAGACTAAGCCCTAAGTCTAATCCTAGTCGGCCTATGAAACTATCTATGTTATATATTCATCGGCTAAATACACGTGAATTTTACTGTAAGCAATAATGGTAACTTAATTTAATACAAATTTAACATTATAATTATTACACTAATTTAACCCCATTAAAACATTTAATTAAACCAAGGTACACAACAAAAAGAAAATACTAATTTAAAAATTAACACAAATACACCTAAATACTACTTAATGAAAATACACAAATCAATTTAAAGAAAACAAGAAATCCACCAATGGAATTTAAATTCATAATTAAATAATTAAATCACAATGAAAGCAAGTGAATACTAGAAATAATTTTAAACACTTAAACAAATAAGCAAACAGTCACATAAAATGCAAGAAAACAATAATTAAAAATACCTAGACTATCCTTTTAAAATTAGGGGTATTACATGCCTCCATGTGGGCTCATGATTTATCTAAGAAATTAAAGACTTGCTACCATGCGGGCCGACGATTTAAATAGAGATAGAGTTGGAAAAGCTCACAAAGGGTCCTTAAGCAATTTCAATATATTTTCACTTTTTGCTTTGCCTTGCTTTGTTTTGCAAATTTTTAGATTTTTAGCTTTTTATGCTTAGCTTAGCTTAGCTTGCTCCTTTTGCTTTCGAATTTCCCTTTGCTTTACTTCCTTTGCTCAAAGCACCTAGTCAATCAAGAACAAACACAATAAGTAACCAAAATAAAATAAAAATAAAGACAAGATCAAAAGAGTACTAATTCCTGATTGATTTCCAAAATATGACGTTGTTAAAATTCCCGGCAATGGCGCCAAAACTTGGTGTGTGTCGTCATCAAGCACCCAAAGTTGCAACAGAAGTGAAGTGTGGCTAAGTTTAAATTTGTAGATTGCCATTACCACTACTAACTATTAATGTAGCTAGAGTGAATAGGGATCATCCCAAGGGATATGGAGTGTATTTTTGCTTAGAAATCAACGTTGGATTAGTAGGTCGAATGATCAAAAGATGAGTTGGTGATTGAATTAGAATACAATGCAAACTAAATAAATGCAAAATGAAATAATTAGACTAAAATGAAGTGTAGAGAATGTAAGGAAGGAGTTTTGGGACTTAGAGTGTACCACTAATCATTACCTTCCTAGACATCCAATGTTTGATGGATGAGGAGGATTATATGTTGCAATGAAAGTGTGTGCCATTGATTGAATTAACAAGCATGGATGGCCAAGTAAGCATACATTGTCTAGCCAAACTAGTGAATAAAACAATATACAAAATTAAGCCATTATTCCTTCCTTTAAGTCCACAATTAATGCATATCCATCAAATTAGAGAAATATACTACTTGCATTCATAGGTATGGAACATTAAACAACAGCATGGATTGTCCACCTATCTAAGAAAGTAAAGCAACTACACTATAACTAAGCTAGTGACATGAAAATTAAACTAATTAAATTAAAGAGGTGGCACAATCCATCAAGAAATAAGTATAAACCATCAAATAAACCACAAGAGTAATCTATTTAAGCACCATGCCTTGATCATCACTAGATTCATAATATCAACACATATAGACATGCATCAATGTCACAAAATCTAGAAATAAACACATGAACCATCCTAGCATACATAGATATATGAATAGAACTAAATGATCAATTGGAAATATTAAACTACACAAATCATTGTAGAAACAAGATTTATATATATATATAAGATGTCAAGGTATTAATTACAACACAAATCCCCATTAGTTACAAACATCAAAGTCTAGAAGGCATGCTTAGGGCTTGTTGGCACTAAAACTTGGCAGCCACCTTAGCGGTGACGTGGACCAGTGAGGAGCTGACAAGTGTTCAGCACGGTTCCAAGGGAAGTCGGCCAATAGAGGGACAAAAGGAGAAAATCTAGGGAAATATATTTCAGCCACCTTATTGATAAGGTTGTTGCTAAATATATATTTACAGAGATTTGAATCAATTCAAATATGGTCATCGATTGCAAGGGGAAGACTTAGAGATTTAGTTACAATAAATAACTAAATCCCTACGAAGTAGGAATTTAGTTGAAGAATGAAAATGAAGGTCGTGGAAGATGGCAACCATGATATGGGCAAAGCTAAACAAGGCAAGTGACATTTATAAGTATTAAATAATGGATTTAAAGGGAAATATTGTGGCTATCAGAATATAGAGGTTGCTAAAAATTAGCAAACTTTATAGCAACAAGAGCTGATCAAGTCGAATGAATTAGTAGATGACAGAGAAGGGTATTTCACTGAGGAAACTGAAAGCATTAATATTGAAGGCAAAGTACACTGGATTAGACTCAGTTTGAATTTTGAGAAGAAATAATCAAGGCAGAGAGATATTTCAGCAAGAAATAAAGATAGATTAGTAGATTTAGAACTTCTATAAATAGAAGTATTATAATTTATTCCAATTTATCCAGCACCAACCACAAATTAGCATGAATCAAAAATTCATCAAATGACTTAACATCATCTTTATCTTCAATTCATTTTTGTCCAAATGGCAAATTTCATTCGGAGAATATGAGTTCCAGTAACTTATCATTCTTTTTGCAATGTCTAATTATGTTATTTACAATTTATCTTAATTTTATGCAAACAAATTCAAATGACAAATCTTTGATCAGATTCATGTCAATTTAATTCGGCCTGTCATATTCCATTACACCATTACTTTTCAGTCCATTTCATTTCAGCCATCTTTATTTTAAAGTTAATTTAAATTCAGCCAGTTCATTTAAATTACTTTACTTTTCATTGCATTTTTTACTTCTTTAAACACCTTAGATAAAAAGTCCTTGTATCGTATCAAGGCATAAAAGAACCTTGCTGTGAGTTCTAACTAGTCTCTTTCCCACACAATCTCCTGAGAGTCAGCCATCGAAAAAAAAGATAGGCTGATGTTCGAATCATAATTTTGAGTGTTTTGTACAAATATTCTGGCACACTCACAATAGTCCATCGACTGGCATAAGACCAAAAACCGCACGAACATATTTTGGCACGCCCAGTGGGACCACTACTAGTGGGTGCTTAGAAGAGGTAAAAATGCCACCACGGCTTACGAAAAATTCCAAGGCCGTGGCTACTGATAAGTTAGCTTTGATGCAAGCATAGATGAGCTCCTTAATAGATGCAATGGGAAGGATGTGTGCACGTTATAATGACATGCATGAAATTATGTCCTAGTTTTCAGCCACTATTTTGAGTAGGCCGAATTAGGCTAGCAGCTCCAACAATCAGGAATCGGCTTTTCAGCTGAATCCGTCACAATCTACTCGGCCAGAGAGGGCCGTTGAATCATTACAGCCATAGCCACCCATAATGATACTCTAACCAAGCATAACGTCAAGTCAGCCGGTGAATATTCCATTAACCTGGGCAAAAAATCATCCGCAGCCTATTATGTCAAGTTTCAATCAACCGCTAATAGCAAATCTGTGGCCACAAGTAATTCCACCAAACCCTCCTCGGGTACCTTTGAACTCGAGGGGCAATCAGATCAAGTGGAGACCCCCAAACCCACTATATAATCATGTGCAACCACAGGTTGGGCTCGGGGTAGAATATGGCTAATCAGCCACATGATTGGCCGAATTACTATCAACTGGCAGCTAATCAGCCGCCAGTGTATAATTAGGTACCACCAATGTTTAACTAAGTACCACCAGTAGTCAATCAGCCAGCAAAGTTTATGCTAGACAGAGGACAATTAGCTAATTTACTTGCCCAAGAGTATGGCCTGGAACTTAGAGGTGCCGACCAACCAATTTATAGAACTCTATATCCAGAAGTGATAAATCAAGTTGAGTTCCCTAAAGGCTATAAAGTCCCTGATTTTGTAACCTTTAGTGGAGAAGGTAATCAATCGACCGTGGAACACATTGGCCGCTTCACAGTTCAATGTGGAGAGGCCAATGTGAGGCCTTGGTTAAAATTAAGACTTTTTCCTAACTCTTTGACAGGGACAGCTTTTTCATGGTAGATATGTTTACCTTCTAACTCTGTTTTTAATTGGTCACAGATGGAGAAGTTATTTCTTAATCAATTTTACCGTACTGAGATAGAACCAACTTTGGCCGATTTTTCCAGGTTGAGCCAATTACCTTTTGAATCGGCCAAGACATTCATTGCAAGATTCAGGAGGGCAAGGTTAAGATGCCATGTACCTCTTCCAGAACAGGAGTACATCCGTTTAGCCTTGAACGACCTTGATTTTGAACTCCGGAAGAGGTTTGAAGGAGTCACATTCTGTGATGTGTACGACCTGGCCGAGAAAGCTACCAGGTATGAGTTGGTCCTTAAGAAGGAAAAGGAACGAAAAAATTCCTCTAAAGATACGTACTATAGGAATCCCAATTATGAAGTTTTTTTAATCAATTTGGTTGACGAAGAAGATCTTGATGCTAATCTTGCTAAAATTATTATTAAGAAGCCTTATGTATATGAGGCTTTGACAAAACCAAAGGCATCCACCAGTGGTACTCAGCCATCAACTTCATCGGCAAGGAAGGGCCGATACTGGTAAGGTTTATACATTTGATCTGGCCAAGACAATTTGTTAGCTGACAAACAAATATTTGATCATTTGTTAGCTGACAAACAAATTATTTTGCCAAAAGGACACAATATACCATCAGACACTGAATCCAAAGGAAAAGAGTTTTACAAATTTCATAATTCATGGAATCATACTACTAACAATTGTTATGTATTTAGAAATGTATTGCAGAAAGCAATCGATGAAGGTGTATTAAAATTTCCTGAAAAGAAGCCAGACGTGATGGGGGTCGATGATGATCCATTCCTTAATATTGTAAATACTAATGTGATCAGCCTGTCACTTGAAAAAGCCGCTGATAATGGTAAACAAGAAAGATCACTAAAAATTCTTGATAGTTCATCATCAGCCAGCAACGATGAGTAAAGGGTAAAGGGCTTAGAAAATTAGTTGAGGGAGGCTCAAATTGCCCTCATCAACCATGGCTGTTATCCAAGTTGCAAAGGCTGTGGAAATAATCAAGACAAGATGAGCTATTTTCCATGAGATGTTGGGTTATCAGTTTAGACGAAATCGTGAAGAAGTCAATCGTCTAATATTCAGAGAAAATGGACCAAAGGCAATAAGAATCATTCAGTTAGAAAGATCTATGGCTGATAGAGTTCTTCCAGAGTAACATTCCTATCCTAGTTTCAAAAGGAAGCAATAATCCAGTCAGAAATATGGGTTTTAAAATGGAAAGAATCTAGCCGTGTAAGAACGATCAGACCTCCTTTGGTTGACCCTGGTAGATGGACTCGTGTGAATCATTCGAAGTTTCCCAAGCAGCCTCCTACACGTACTCAAAAAAGGGGGATGCAGAGGAAGAATGTAGAACTTAGAAGAAAAGTGGTTAAAATCGACCAGGTTCAATCAGCCAAGAAGGATGAATTAGGGGAGGCTGAAGATATGGAGGTTGTTATATCGCTTGGGAATGAAGCATCCTCTTACAAGGAGAAAGATGATCAGCCAAATCAAGATCCAAAGTATGCGGCCAAATACAGAATTCGTTTTGGTTCCCTTCCGGATGAGGTAAATTGTAATATGGTTTTTGTTTTACCTTCTATGTTTGAAGCAAGGACGGAGCCCAAGATGAACAGGGACATCACATTAGCCAATCATAAGGATGAGGCCAAATCATCACAAATTAAGAATGACTCAAAGAGTTCATCGGCCAGGGTAGGATTAGTTTCTTAAGACCAACCAACTGAGGCCGATAAAATCATCTTTGAAAAACCACCTCTGGCCATGACACAACTGTTGAGGCCGTTGTATGTTAAAGTATTGGTTGATGGTCAGCCAATCAATAGGGTGTTGGTCGATAATGGTTCGGTGGTAAACGTCATTCCAACTGACGTGACCACTAGTGGTTTTAATGGAGGATCTAGTAACACCAAAGGTATTTTGCCTTTAGAAATTACTATTGGTGGTAAAACATCCTTCACGGCCTTCTTTATTATTGATTTAACTGCGGCCTATAATCTTCTTTTAGGCCAAGATTGGATTCACCCTAATATATGTATCCCATCAGCATTGCATCAGATGTTGATTTTCTCTGATGGAAATAAAGTAAAAATTGTTGAGGTTGATAATAAACCCTTCATAGCCAGGGTATATTTGGTCGAGGCTGCACTTTATGATAAAACTGTTGTACCTATCAAATTTGTTAGCATTAACAGGATGGGATGACCAGCAGCAACAAAGAAGAAAAACTTGGTTAATACTGATATTAAAAACTATTGACCGAAGTAGTTCGGCCGAAAATTGATATTTTCAGGTCGACCATTAAAGAAATTGAAGATATTTCTGATAAATCACACAAATAAAGAAGAAAGAAGCAGCAAGCTTTCAGGGCCGCCTGTATAAGACTAAAAGTAAACCTGGCTGAAAAGAGATTGGCCAAAGAAGAGCAATTATATGAAGATGTATCGGCCAGCACGGTCGATATAGATAATGAAGGTTTTGAAAAGTTGGATGCAATCCAACTTGAAGATTTGGAGTCAGCCCCTTTCAGGATGGAAGATAATAAAGCAGAGGTTTAGGATCCTTTATATGAAATTAATGTCAGTACTAAAGAAGATCATCGGCTATTATTTGTTAGTGCTTTGCTTGAGCCTAATTTTTAGGCCGATTTTATCAATTTATTAAAGGAATATAAGGATTGCTTCACTTGGAGTTATGAAAAGATGCCTAGCCTATCACGGAAGTTGGTAGAACACAGGTTGCCTAGCAAGAAAGACTTTCAGCCATATAAACAACCACTAAGGAGGATGTCCATGGAAGTAATGCTCAAGATTAAAGAAAAAATTGAAAGACTTCTTAAGGCAGGGTTTATTCAAATAGTTACGTATGTTGAATGGCTATCTAATGTTGTTCCAGTAATAAAGAAAAATGGCAAAATTATAATTTGTGTGGATTTTCGTAATTTAAATACTGTCACTCCAAAAGACAAATATCCAATGCCAGTGGCCGATCAACTTATTGATTCAGCCGCTAAACATGAAATAATGTCTTTTATGGATGGCCATTCTGGTTATAATCAAATCTATATAGTCGAGAAGGATATTCCCAAAACGGCTTTTAGATGTCCTAGGTCAATTGGTACTTTTGAGTGGGTTGTAATACCATTCGACCTAAAGAATGCAGGGGCAACCTATCAAAGGGCAATGAATTCAATCTTCTATGATATGATTAGCCGATTTATAGAAGTCTACATAAATGATGTGGCTGTGAAATCATCGGCCAAAAAGAAGCACTTGGAACACTTGAAAAAGGCTTTTGAAAGGATGAGCATCCACAAATTGAAAATGAACCCATTGAAGTATGCATTTAGGGTCTCAGCTGGGAATTTCTTGGGATTCTTGGTACTCCAACGAGGCATAGAAATTGATCAAAATAAGGCCAAAGCTATTATGAATACTATGGCCCCAACTAGCAAAAAACAGGTACAAAGGTTTCTCTACTAGGTAGGTTTTCTTAGAAGTTTATTTCTAACCATACTGGCCGAGTACATGCTTTTTCTCCTTTATTGAAATTAAAGTCGTATGAAAATTTTTACTGGAATTAATCCCATCAGAAGGCTTTTGACAAAATAAAAGAGTATTTGGCAAACCCTCCGGTAGTGATGCCTCCAAGAAAGAAATGGCCATTGAAGCTTATTTATCCGTAGAGGAATCAATTGGTAGCATGCTTGCTCAAAATAATGAACTTGGAAAGGAACAAGCTGTTTACTATTTAAGCAGAGTACTAACAGATGTTGAATGCAGATATTCTTCAATTGAGAAATTTTGTTTATCTTTGTATTATTCAGCCATGAAATTAAGAGTTTATATGTGGCCGGTTTATGTTTACATTCTTTGTCAAACTAATATGATTAAATATATGCTATCAAGGCCATTGATCACTGGTCGAATAGGTAAGTGGGCATTGGCCTTGATGGAATTTAATTTTATCTTTGTCCCATAAAAATTAGTTAAAGGAAAGGTTCTGGCTGATTTCTTGGCCGATCATCCTTCAACTGATCTTAATCCACAGGTGTATGATGAATTAGAGTCTTTAGCCGTATTCCTAACCCCTTGGACATTGATGTTCGATGGATCAAGCAAGGTCGATGGAGCAGGGGTAGGTATTTTTATCATTTCATTATCCGGTAGAAAGACTTCTTTTTCATTCTTCTTGGATTTTAAATGTTCAAATAATCAGGCCGAATATGAAGCACTTATAATCGGCCTAAAAATTTTAATTGAAATGGCTGTTGGTGATGTGAAAATTTTGGGAGATTCAAACTTGGTACTTAGTCAAATTACTGAAGATTTCAAATGTTTAAGTTGGCAATCAAGGCCGTTTCATTCTCTGGTCACTTCACTAATTAATCAATTTGATAATGTTCAACTTAAGTTTTGGCTGAGAATACAAAATGAGGAGGCCAATAATATGGCCCAAGCAGCCTCTGGAATAAGAGTACCAGCCGGAGTTAAAGATCAATTGATAAAGATAACACGAAGATCATTGCCATCGGCCGAAATAAGAAATACTGAGATGGTTGATTCTTGGGTAATTGATATAGAAGATCTGACCGATGATGACTGGAGGATACCATTCATAATGTTTCTCTGAAATCCAAACGTCAAAACTGATAGAAGTATCAAGAGAAGAGTAATCTATTTTCTACTCCTTAATGGGGATCTATATAGAAAAGGCTTGGAAGATGGACTCCTACTACAATGCATAAGTAAAGAAGAGTCTTTTCAGGTTATGGCCGAGGTACTTAAAAGTTGCTGTGGAGCCCACCAAGCAGGAATTAAAATGAGATGGCTGATTCGAAGGTATGGATACTATTGGCCAATAATCAAATTATGGCCATTTAGAGGTTGGGGCCTTGACCTTATAGGTAAAGTTAATCCACCATCAAGTGAAGGCTATCACTAGGTGATTATTGCCATGGATTATTTTACTAAATGGGTTGAGGCCAAAGCTTGTAAAACTGTTGATCAACAAACAGTGATTAACTTCATGGAACAACATATTGTCAATAGATTTGGAATTCCAGAAACACTTGCTTCAGATAATGGAACAGTGTTTAGGGCAGCTGTGTTGCAATTCGGCCACAATATGACATCCATATGACAGCTTCTACACCATACTATGCCAAGCAAATGGTCAGGCTGAGTCCTCAAATAAAATTTTGATAGATCATTGAAAAAATGATCAAAGATAAACCAAGAAGATAGCATGAGACTTTATCTGAGGCTCTATAGGCCTATAGAAATTTGAAAAGAATAGGTACAGGAATCATACCATATATGTTAACTTATGGACATGATGTTGTTCTGCCTATAGAAATGAAGGTTAAATCGGCCAGAGTTGCATTCCAAAATAATCTAACTCCGGCTGATTACACTCAAACAATGTTAACAGAGTTGGAAGACTTGGATGAAGTCAGGTTCGATGCTTTGGATCACATCATAGCTCACAAGAAGAAGGTAATGAGGATCTATAACAAAAGGGTAAAACCTAAGTCTTTTACTGAAGAAGATTTAGTTTGGAAAGTTGTTCTGCCAATAGGTAAGGTTGATAGAAAATATGAGAAGTGGTCTCATAAATGGGAAGGGCCACACTTAGTTCATCAAGTCTTAAGTGGAGGAGCATACAGGTTGAAGTATTTTAGTGACCAATTGCATGACTACCCCATTAATGGCAGGTACCTTAAGAGGTATGTGCCAACAATCTTTGAAAGGGAAAATTAAAGTCAACCAGTACCTTTGGCTGACCATGTGTACCTATATGTAATAAATTCGGTCTATTTATAGGCTGATTTAGTTGTTTAAATTTTAATAAAATTCTTGTTGAAGTACTGATGTTTGTTTAAAGCAACAAAAGAGGTCATTTATTTATTAAAGTGTAGAAGCATTACATCATTTGAATTTATACACTGAAATGGCCACAAAAAGGTCCCATTGAAAAAAAAGACTTATATGTTTGCTAATTTTTCCTTAAAATCGGCCAAAATCACTAAGAACCGATTAAAGGCAACCATAGCTTGTCTCTTTGATTCTTCTAATTTAGGTAATTCTTCACGAAGACTTACATGCTTGTGAGCAAGGTCTTGAGCTTCAAACTGCAATGTGGCAGCTTCGTCAGATAAGATGGCCTTACGAGCATTAATCTGGTTGATCTCTTGTTGGAGGACTTTTTCTCTCTCTTCAAGACTGATGAATTCTTTGTTCACTCGGTCAAAGGTAGAAGCTTGGTTTAATAACTAATCACCAAGATTTTCCTTCCTGCTCTTACTCTTGTTAAACTGATTGATCGATTCATTGGTTTGGAAAATCTCATCAGCCAAAGCTGGCAGTTGACATTTGAAAGTAGCAATGGTGGCTTGTAGGTGGACTGGGAAGTCTGGATACTGGCTAAGTATGGTAAGAACAGCCGTGAGTTCAGTCTCATATTGTGGAAGATCAGTAGCATCTCTTTGTAAAATCTCAACCAAAGCTTTTTTAGTTTTTTCCATGGTTTGTATTAGGACACTGGCTGAAGTAACTAGAATTGTTCCTGAGGATTCACTTTCTCTCTCCTCAGTTACTGAAGCTACCACATCTTTGAAGAAATTACTTAAGGCCCAAAGGGAGGAAGCAGGGACTTTTGGTGGTGGAAATAAAGGAACGATTTGAGTTTTTTCATGAACAACCTGCCAGTATGAAGAAGTTTAGATTATTAAATTTTGAAGTATCAGAAAAATTTAAGGTATAAGATAATCAGTACCTTTGATGATTCGGCCACATCTGCAGCCAAGGGAGGCTGATGGCTGATTACTGGTGGAAGAAACTCTGTCTGAAAAGTTGTGCTGTCTCCATGAGATGAAGCTTTGGCAGGAGTGACTTGGACATTTAAAGGAATCTCAATGGGTTCATGAAAATCCTTCAAAGAGCTGAAATTTCTAATTGGGCTATAAACCAAGTCAATGAGAGGAGATTGCTGCAAAAAAAAGACCAGTGATGTTACCAAAAGTATTGAAGGTTGAAAAGCTTATGAAAAAAAAAAAAAAAACCATCATTAGCTCTTTTTCATCTTAAGAATGATCAAAGGGATCATCAGCTACATTAATCATAGGATCATCGGACAATTTAATTACAAGAACGTCAACCACATCTTCTGTAGGCTGAGGACTTGTTTCAACTTCAAGTTTTTTGCCCACAAGAGAGATGGTTGATTTTATAGACTCTTTGAGAGTTTAGAGACCCTTTTTTGGCCTTGTGAGCTTTTATGAGATGTGTTCCCCGTTTGAATGCTTTCTAATACAATCTTACTTATCAATATATATCAGAAAACAAAAATTCAATCTGAACTGTTTTTCCCGTTTTCTGTTCCAGTCACCAATGTTCTTTCCATGTATGATTCAGTCACCAATGTTCTTTACATGCATGATTCAGTCACCTGACTCTCTAGCCCCAAGATGGTGTTACCCGCATTTCAATTGATGTTTTGATTTCTCACTCTTCCATTCTTTTCTTTTCTTTTTTGATAAGTAGATATTGTATTAGACAGTGTTCATAAAGGGGAACGCAACCCGCAAAAGTTACACTAGGCCAAATAGGGCCCCTAAACCTCACTCTTCCTCACCTTGTCGGAGCTACTACCCATTTCATCCAAATTCACCATGAAACATGCCCATTTATCTACGAATAATGTCGACTTCATAGGAAATCCAGTAAAGAGGCAGTTTGGTGAAAACTCATGCATCCATTTATCTACGAATGTGTCTGGGTACGAGTGCACAAGTGTGAATGAATTTCAAGTTCTCAATTCATTAAGAAAACTAAGGAAAATCATTTCAAACATACACTGGAAAATGAGTAAAATCACATCGTAGAACAGAATTTCGCCCAACGAGTTTCAATAGGAGAACAATCAGAAACAATACATTAGGTCAAGAACATGATTCACAAAATCTGTTATGTAGCATAATACAAAAGAATTTCCTGGAAGTACTGTAATTCATTACAAATTAGGTTCATGTATTGCTACCATCCATACGGGCATGTGACATAACGAATATAAGAAAAAAAACAATTACCATAAGTTCATTACTAAGAAACGCTCGCTGCTGAAGGTATATTTAGAAACTTCAAAATAAAATTTGAGAGTAACCTCACCTCCCATAATATGATGCCCAGTGAAGCGCCGTCCTTCCCCGTGCATCTCTGAAATTAGGACCAACACCAGCAGCAACTATGAGACCCATTGCCCAATCATAACCAAGAGCAGCTGCCAAGTGAATAACACCATGACCTTCAGTATCCAAAATATGTGGTCCTTTACCTCCTTCATGTACTTCACAGAATAGCCACACATAAAGTTTGTACTTCAGAAAATTCTCAATCAACAGATCTATGAAGTCCACATTATTCCCACCAGATGCCATAAGCGCCTCCTTAATTCTTTCCCAATCAAATTTACTGCCACTTTTAACTGAACATATATCATTCTTCAGCTTACATTTGTCACACTCAACAGTTGAACAATTCAACCAATTGGTCTCTAGGCCTAAATCTAGCATTTTAGCCAGTTGTATAAGAAAATGCACTTCATCTTCTGCTGTTCTTTTAACATGGGTACGAAGTGAAACTCCTGATGGTTTTTCTCGAAATTCAAAGTCCCGCACCTCACTGCAGGCTAACCTGTTACTGCACGTTATATAGAAGGGCACACGCCCAGGAGCATGGAAAGGAACTTGGCATCGAATGACATTGTCTGTCAGAACTTCAGCAGAAGCTTCAATCTCACCAAACATGCAACACCATTTTAAACCAGTAGAAAGCTTCTTGTCTCCCAGAAAAGTACCTGTGATCATAACCTGAGCAAAAAAGACCATTATGGACCAACTCTGTCTAGCATCTATTATTGAAGTACCAAGTTCCTATGTAATTTTGTGGTGTAAGAGAGATCATTCTTTAAAAAAAAAAAAAAAAGCCTACCTTTGTTTCAACACCTGAATAAGCCCAGTCCGGCGCAAAATCACAGATACTAAATAGTTGCTCTTGGGAAAGAAAAGGGCCCAGAGAAACAATGTCCAACTGCATATGATGTGACAAACTGTTGACACCCATTTTGGTAATCGGGTTTGGGCTTTAATTGGATTTGATATGCAGTGATATGGTGTCATGGGCCAAGAGTACATGGGCTTGGTGACTGATGGAAGCAAGTATTTGGGCTGCACGAATATTGGGCTGACTGATGGACTGATGGAAGCAGGCTTGAGAATGTGGATTCAAAGGACTAGATTACAATTGTGATGGCATTAGTACAGTAACAGGGCAAAGTTGTGATCGGAGAGGAATATTTTTTAAAATATTTTGAGACACTTTATGTCAGATAAGATTTGTTTGGTTAGTTAGGAATTAATCTTTATCTAAGAATCTTAGTTTGAGTTTAAAATTAGTAGTAAGTGAGAGTTTTATTGTAATTAGAATTCTTGTTGGTAGGAATTTGTTTACAATATTTTCTATAAATGAACAAAAGGGTACGCTGTACTAGAGGTCCAGCACCCTCAGAATCTTTATTATTATTTGTTTGCTTTCTCAAGCTTTTCCAAGAATAGCATTCTTGCTATTTCTTCTTTCTTTCCTTCTATACTTCTCAATCTCTCTTTCTATCTTTTTCTCTCTCTCTCTCTCTATCTTCATTCTTTCCCTTTCTTTTCTTGCTATATCTGTTTTCCTCCTTTTTCTATTCTCTTAATCTTTTACTATAATTTATTCATTGACAAGTTCTTTTAACTAAGGCAATTCTCGAACTATAAGAGGAGTATCACTGTTCTCTTTATCCTCGCATCGTCTGAAACTCAACCCTTGAAAGAGACTACAAGTTGACAATTTACAATCGGACCATATATTTGGTTATGGCACGCCTGGCTTACATCAAATTAAGATCGGCTTCATCAAGCCGATTTTAGGGTCAACATTTTTGGCACGCCCAGTAGGACCCCATCAAGTGAGCAAGTTATAGTAAAGATGCCTCCAAAGCTAAGAAGTTCGAAAGGCATGAATACAAGAGATAATACTGACGAAGAAAATCCACAGATCGGCGTAGGCGATGATGCCAACTCATCTATTCCATCCGACGTTCCTTTGAGTCGGGTACTGGAATCGATTGTGCAAAAAATCGATGTCCAGCAAGCACAGATCGGCGAGGTAAGGTCTCAAATGGGAGAATCAAGTCAGTTTTTGGTTGCTCAAATGCATGAGATGAGGTCGATGACTGGGGAGTTAAACCAAATGATGTACACTCAGTTGGAGAAGATGAGCCAAAAACTTGAAACCAATGTACCGGCGAATCAAAGCCGACAAGATCAGGCTGAAGCGTCTCACGTCAATGAGTCCATATTTCAGTGTATGACGGCACCATTAGTTCATATATCCCAAAGACCTCGAACAAGCACCATACCGCCAAATGCAGGATTTGGTGTTACAATTGGCAATGTACCGAATCATACACTTGGCATGCCGATGGGAAATCCGCCAATCTTATCAAATCCGTCGGTGGTGAATCATGTTTCGGTGTTCCAGCCATTAATGAATGATCAACCCGTGCAGCGTTCCAATGAGCAGCCGATTCCACCAGTGAGAAATCAGCAAGAAGGGATCAGCCATCTAAACCAAGGTAGGATTAATCCATTGATACCTCCAGCGGCTTCTAGGGGGCAAGTAAATGCCGATCCACAAAGAGAGTGGGTTAATCCATTCATTCCTCGGCACCCTCATGATCCTCCAGGAAGAAATGCAGGGATTGACAGAGCTCAGATTTTGGTTTTAATCCAAGCCGAAGTAGCACAGGGTCGCAGATGTGCTCGGCCAGTATACAGAAAGTTGTATCCTGACCATGTCGATGCTCATGAGCTGCCTAGAAATTATCGGTATCCTGATTTTTTTATATACAGTGGCGAAGAGAATTTCTCTACGGTGCAGCATATTGCAAGGTTTACTGCACAATGTGGCGAAGCAGGTCCTAGCCCTTGGTTGAGGATGAGGTTATTTTCTAGTTCTCTAGCCGGGGCAGCGTTTGAATGGTACAGTAATCTACCGGCTAATTCGATTCAGACTTGGGATGAGATGGAAGAGGCATTCCATACCCAATTCTACCGAACAGAGACAAAAGCTACGTTGGCAGACATATCTCAATTATCTCAGTTGCCAAGCGAATCGATTGAAACTTTCGTGGCCAGGTTCAGAAAAGCTAAACTCAAATGCCGAGTAAGTTTACCAGAACTAGAATATATCAAGTTGGCATTAAATGGTCTAAACATTGACAATCGCAAGAGGTTTGATGGGGTTGAGTTTCAAGACCTCTTTGACTTAGCAGACAGGGCTTCTCAGTATGAGGAAATACTAAAAGAAGAGAAAGAAATGAAGAATTCTTCCAAGGGTACTTGGTACAAGGACCCTAATTATGAGGTATTCTAGGCAGAAGTTGGAGATGAATTAGAGGTTGAAGTTGCAGAAGTCAATATCAAAAGGCCATAAGTTTGTGAGGCGTTGGTTAAACCTAAACCTACCACGGGGAGTAATGCAACATCAACGTCCACATCGGCACCGTCAATAAGGAAAGGTCCTGCTGATACCGGGAAGAATTATTCGTTCGACTTGTCAAAAACAAATCAAATCTTTGATCGCTTGATGGCCGATAAGATGATATCTTTGCCCAAAGGGCATAGAATTCCATCGGTAAGTGATTTGAAAGGAAAAGAATATTATAAGTATCATAATTCTTGGAACCATGCTACTAATGATTGTACAGTTCTATGAGGTGTATTGCAGAAGGCTATCGATGAAGGTACTTTGAAGTTCCCAGAGAAAACTTCAGAGACCATGCAAGTAGATACCAACCCATTCCCCATGATCGCATCCACTAATGTGATAAGCATAGCCAAGCAAGAAGATCAGCAGGAAGCTGAAAAGGCATCAGGCGAGTTCCTTTCATCAAATGTGACTTTCGAAAAGATGGCAGAGTTGCAGAGACAGTTGTGGGAGGCACAATTGGCCTTGACAGACAAAGGTTGTTGCCCAAATTACAAGGGAAAGCAGAAGCTAAAAGAGAAAGAGATTTTGGAAGATCAACCAAAGAAGAAAGGAATTCTTGAGAGGCTTACATTCCTAAGTAAGCCTGATGAAAAGCGGCAAGGTTATTCCAGCAGCAGTCATGTAAAGGCGGAAAAGGAAAATCGGCAAGGAAATATATCTAGCCGATTTCATCCACAAAATCGGCATCCTCGTTTTAAAAGGCAGTCACCAGTTCAATCGAAAATTTGGATACAAAAAGGAGCCGATTCATATAAGGTACGGACTGTAAAACCTAAAACAAACTCAGCGGAGGACAGATGGAAACAGGTCAATCATCCAAAATTCCCTAAAGCTTAACAATATCAGGATGGAGGCTTAACTCGGTCTCAAAAACGTAGGGAACAAAGGAAAAGGGCTGAAGTGAAAAGAAAAGCTAAGGAAAGAGGCTGAGTAGTATTAGCCGATGACATCAGTAGTCCAGATCAATTGAATGACGAACATCAGCCGACGTGGCCCAGACGCAGAGATGAGTTCAGAATCCAATTTGGGAGTTTTCCTGATGAAATGTCGTGTAATATAGCATTTGTTGTACCAGCAATGTTCCAAGCTTCATCGTCGTCAACTGCAAGTCCAGAAAATAAGGATGCAGAGTGTAAATCAGAAGGAAGAGGGACTCAGCCGATTCAGAATTTATCAATTCTTTCATTAGAATCGGCAGAGAAGGTAGTCTTTGAGAAACCTTTGTTAGCAATGATTCAACAACTCAGGCCTTTGTATATTAAGGTATGGGTAGAAGGTCAACCTATTAACCGAGTCTTGGTAGACAATGGCTCGGTTCTAAATGTTATTCCATCAAACACGTTGAAGAAGCTCGGCAAGAGTATAGAAGATGTTATTTCTACTGATGTAGCAATTTGTGGTTTCAATGGAGGCTCTACTAGCACTAAAGGGATTCTTCCCTCATAAATAGACGTTGGAGGTAGGACATCTTTTGCGGCATTCTTTATAATTGAGTCCACGGCTTCCTATAATTTATTATTAGGCCGTGACTAGATTCATTCAAATATGTGCATCCTATCATCATTACACCAGATGCTGATCTTTTGGGATGGAGATAAGGTGAAAATAATAAATGACAATGATAAGCCATTTGTGGCAAAAGTGTACTCGGCAGATGTTGTTTTGTATGACGAAGAATGTGTTCCTATTCGGTTTGTGGGAACAGGAGCCGATGGAAGACCAACTTCGGCAACCATGAGAAGAAGTCTTACCGATCATGAGGTCGGCGAGTTGCAGCAGGAGACTTCCAGTCCGAAGGTAGAACTCCCTCGGCTTACTATAATTGAAGAAGTTATTGATGGAAGCGAAACTTGAAAGGGTAGCTGCTCGGCAGCAGGCCTTTAGGGCCGCTTACATTAGGCTTCAAGCATACATAGCTGAAAAACGGCTAGAGAAAGAAGCAATAATGGAGCCAGGAGCATCGGTTAATCTTACCAAGATCGATCGGTTCAATAATGAAAAGCTGGATGCAATACATGCAATACAGTTAGAAGACTTGGAATTAGCACCAGCTAAGCTCAATGATCTTAAAGCAGAAACTCAGGATCCATTAAAGGAAATGAATTTAGGCACTGAAACAGAGCCTAGACCAACTTATATTAGTGCACTGTTAGAACCAGAATTGCAAGCCGAAGTTATCAACATGTTGAAGCAATACAGTGACTGCTTTGCTTGGAATTATAAAGAAATGCCGGGTTTGTCCAGAGATCTGGTGGAACATCGGCTGCCCAATAAAGATGGCTATAAGCCATACAAACAGCCATCTCGTTGAATGTCTCAAGAAGTGGTAATAAAGTTAAAGTAGAAATCGAACGATTGTTGGATGCTGGCTTCATTCGAACCACAAGGTACATTGAGTGGTTATCAAATGTAGTCCCTGTTATCATAGAAAATGGAAAATTACGTGTATGTGTTGATTTTTGAAACATAAATTTGGCAACTCCAAAAGATGAGTATCCAATGCCGATAGCTGATCAGCTAATTGATGCGGCTACAAATCACCAAATTATGTCTTTTATGGATGGACACTCAGGCTATAATTAGATTTACATAACTGATGAGGATATTCCAAAGATAGCTTTTAGGTGTCCTGGATCGATTGGAACTTTTGAATGAGTGGTAATGCCTTTTGGGTTGAAGAATGCTGGCGCGACATATCAGCGAGCTATGAATTCTATTTTTCATGATATGCTCAGCAAGTTTATGGAGGTGTATATTGATGATGTGGTGGTGAAATCGGCAGAGAAGAAAGAGCACTTAGTCCATCTCAAAACATCTTTTAAGAGAATGAGGCCTCATAAGCTAAAAATGAATCCAATAAAGTGTGCCTTTGGAGTATCGGCAGGAAACTTTTTGGGTTTCTTGGTTCATCAAAGGGGTGTAGAGATCGATAAGAATAGAGCCAAGGCGATTATTGATGCTAGTGCTCAGAGAAGTAAGAAACAGTTGCAGAGGTTACTTAGGCAAGTGAATTATCTTAGGAGATTTATTGCTAATACAGCCGAGAAATTACATGTGTTTTTCCCGCTACTCAAGTTGAAGCCGATGGAAGAATTCAAATGGGATGATACACATCAAAGGGCATTTGACCAGATTAAGAAATACTTATCGAGTCCTCCTGTCATGATGCCTCAAGGAAGAAATGGCCAATGAAGTTATATTTATCGGCTGCTGAAGAATCCATTGGAGCTATGTTAGCATAAGAAAATCAAGCAGGAAGTGAACAAGCAATATATTATCTCAGCCGAGTTCTAACTCCAGTCGAGTGTAGGTATACACCGATTAAGAAATTATGTTTAGCCTTGTATTTTACAGCAATGAAATTAAGAGTCTATATGTTGCTCATTTTGGTTTATATTGTTTGTCAAACTGATCTTATAAAGTATATGCTATCAAGGCCATTAATTACAAACCGGATTGGCAAGTGGGCTTTAGGACTAATGGAGTTCAACTTGGCATATGTTCCACAAAAGGCAATTAAGGGAAGAGCATTGGTAGATTTCCTTGCCGATCATCCTTTGCCTGAAGTTGAGTCACAAGTCTTTGATGAGCTTGACTCGGCATCCATATAGTCATAACTTCCCCAATGGGAAATCAAACCTCGTTTTCCTTCTTTTTGGATTTCAGGTGTTCAAATAATCAAGTCGAGTATGAAGCATTAATTATCGGTTTGGAAATCCTGTTAGAAATGGTAGTTAGAGACGTCCACATTGTGGGAGATTCAAGTTTGGTGATTAACCAAATTTCGAAAGACTTTAGGTGTTTGAATTGGCAATTGAGATCATTCCATTCATTGGCAACCCAATTGGTTAACCAATTTCACAGTGTGACTTTGGAATACAGACCGAAAGCCATGAATAAAATGGCTAATGATTTAGCACAAACTACTTCTGGAGTCAGGGTGCCGAGGGGTATGAAGGAAAGGATAATGAAAATTGCACGCCGATCTCTTCCATCAGCTGAAGCAAGAAATCAAATTATGGAAGAAATCTTTGCCACTGATGTTGCCGAGTTAGATGACAATGATTGGCGAATCCCTTACATCCTGTTTTTGCAACATCCAACTCCAGAAGTCGATAGGAGAATAAAAAGAAGTACAGTCGATTATGTTCTTATGGATGGAGATCTTTGTAGAAGATCGGCTGATGATGGTTTATTATTTCAGTGTATTAGCAAGTTTGAAGGTTTGAAGATTATGGCTGAGGTACATGAAGGGATATGTGGAGCTCACCAAGCTGGCATAAAGATGAGATGGTTGATACGACGATATGGATATTATTGGCCAGGAATGAGAAAATATTGTATGACTTATGCAAAAGGCTGTATTGACTGTCAAAAACATGGTCCAATGCAGTAGGTCCCAGCAATAGAAATGCAATTACTAGTTAAACCATGGCCTTTCAGAGGTTGGGCTATGGATCTAATCGGCAAGATTAATCCTCCTTCATCAAAGGGTCATCATTGGATTATTCTCGCTACCGATTATTTTACTAAATGGATAGAAGCCAAGGAATATGTATCGGTAACTCATAATACCGTTATACAGTTTTTGGAGCGACATATCTTTCATCGATTTGGATTACCGGAAACAATTGTTGCCAATAATGGTTTTGTTTTTTGAGCAAATGAAGTGTTACAACTCGGCATTGATATGCAAATGAAAATGGTTACCTCAACACCCTATTATACTCTAGGGAATAGCCAAGCAGAAACGTCAAATAAAGTTGTGATTGAAATTATTGAAAAGATGATAAAAGACAAGCCGAAGCGTTGGCATGAAGCCCTTTCAGAAGCCTTATGGGCCTATAAAAACTCAAAAAGGACAAGTACAGGGACAACTCCATATCGGCTAACGTTTAGTCATGATGCAGTGTTGCCGATGGAGTTAAATGTAAAATCGGTAAGGATTGCCTTGCAACATAATCTCATACCTGCCGATTATAACGAAGCTATGCTTGCCGAGTTGGAAGACTTAGATGAAGTCCAGAAACTTGCTTTGGATCACCTTATGGTGCATAATGCAAAAGTCATGAGGGCTTACAATAAAAGGGTGAAGTTCAAGTCATTTGCAGAGGGCGATATGGTTTGGCAAATAGTTCTTCCACCTGGAAAGGTCGATAAGGTCTATGGCAAGTGGTCACCTACTTGGAAAGGTCCATATTTGGTTCATTAAGTATTGCATGGAGGCGCTTACAGGTTAAAAGATTTAGATGGTGAAATCCATGAGAGACCAATAAATGGAAGATACCTTTAAAAATATAAGCTAACTATTTTTGAGCTCATGGAAGAAAAGAAAAATTCCAGTAAGTCAAGATAGTGTGGATTGTATTTTATATAAGGTATGTAGAGATAAAATTTGCTAAATAAGTAGTAGCATCAATATAATGTGATAACTAGATTGTTCAAAGAAAACCACATTACTTCCCAAAAAATGCAAATTGTTTGAAAATCATATTACAAATCCATAATAGTTGTCATTTGAGAATAAAATTCAAGGTTGGTTAAAGTTCTGTTAAAATTCTTCAAATTGGGCTTTGAAACTTGCCCATGATACCCTGGTTTGATCAAGCTTCGCCTCTGCCTGCTTTTTAAACTGCTCTAACTTTGGCATTTGAGTCTGGAGTGCTTTGAACCTTGGGGCAGCAACTTCCGCTTCTTTCTTTAGTTCTGCCACTTTGTTGCTGTGTTGTGATTTGTCTTTTTGAAGCTGAGCTAGTTGTGCTTGAAGTTTTTTCTCCCATGCATCTAGTTCAGCAGCTTCTTTCTTCAATGACAAGGGTAATTCTTTTCCATTCTTCAAAGATCGAGCAAGCAATTCTTTCTCTTGGGTTTGAGCAGCACAATGGTTGAGGGTTTGAGTAGACTCGGCATAAGCAGTCATCATGGAAAGGACTTGAAGTTGGAAGTTCTTGAAGAGAGCTTGGTCACCTAAAGAGAATTTTAGGTAACTACTCAAGAAAGACAAGGTTTCAGTTAACTCATTCTTAAAAAAAGGGACTAGAGACAAGTTTTGTTGCACCATTTGTGACAGGATCTGGATGGCTTTTGTTACTTCTGGGGGTGTGTCATAGGTTTGTTCAGTTGGAATTTCAGGAGGTTTAAGATCAGATGAGTCAAAGACAGAATCAAATAAAGAGTCAAGGGTGGCAAAGGGAGAGCTTGGGTTAATACTGACAGGATTGGTTGGATTAGCCGAGCCATGTTGTACCTGAAACATGCCATAGCCATAATAAGTTTACAAGAATAGGACATAAAAGAAATGTATATATATATATATATAAATATATCATTACTTACTTCATCAGAATCTCCAATTTGTTCACCAATTGAAGTTGCAGCCAGGTTTGGGGAAGACACTGGAGACCTTGATTTTTGTCCTACTGACACTTTAATTTTGTCTTCATCTTCAACATGATTAGTAGAGATTTCCTGAATTAATTTTTGATCTGAGTAGACTTGAGCTTTCTGCAAATAATGCTGATTTAATTATATTCAGGGAGTAATATACATATCAGATCAGGCAGAAAGAAATTACATTGGAAGATTCGGTAGCAAGCTTCTTCTTCTTGGAGATGACTTCATCATCATCCGCTTCATCATCATCAATCAAATCAAAATGTCTCTTGGCTCTTGACTTTTTGGGTTTCTTTCCTATGGTCTTCCTTCTTGTAGCTTTCTGGAGAAGAAGTTTAAGTAAGGGAATGGTATGCATCAAAAATGATATATATGATTCGTTAGGAGTATTACCTGAGTAGCCAAGGATGGGGGAATACTTTGCAAAGGAACATAGAAATCAATGTGAGTTTCTTCAGATTTGGTAGCAGATTTCTCTGGTGCATTGGAATATGTGCCTGGAATTACATTATCCATTGTTAAGTGATCATATAAACCAAATAGAAGTATTGATAGAAAGAAAAGGATAGAAAACTTACTTTGTCGAGAACGAGATCTAGTCCTACCTGCAGGAGCTGTAGGAGGAGGACGAGTTGGTGCAATATTTGTTATGTTCTCTAGCTCAAGAGTGGTAGTAAGATCAACGGGTTCAATGGAATCAACAACTTGAAAATTGAGGGATATGAATTTGTAGGAGCCAAGGAGGGTGGATACGAGTTGACTGGAATCTACAGTCCTGGTAAAATTAATATATGAAGGCCACTAGGTTTCGAAGCTTAGATCTGTATGCGGTTCTTCTAGAAAGGATTTGTACTGAAATTCTTGAAGACGTTAGGTAAACCGATTGGTAGCATCTTGAATCTATTCACTGTTTGAGAGCTTAACCTGCTTGTGATAGTTCTTGTTGTAAGAAAAATGGAGAGGCACTGGGATCATCTGCGTCAATCCAAATTGCCGAGCTAACTGCATTGGGTTGTAAAACTCAACCCCAGTTTAGCTCTTGGGCAAATTGGGAGCAACGGTATTGCAAGGTATATCTCTTGCGATCAAGAAGTGGTCCCATGAAGTAATATAAAGGTCAATCTGTTCAGGAGAAGACTCGGCATTAGGGGAAACAACCAAGATGGAGCTAGTTGACATTTAGAAAAAGGAAGGAATTGGGATTGAGTCCTGATCTTGCACTGATGATAGAAGAATTGAAAACAGTCATTAAAGGAATGGTCTTTGGGTTTGACTCTAGCATATCCGAATGACAGCAAAGGATCATTTGGAGCAAGCCGAATAGGAAGAGCTGGTTCAGGAAAATATGCATGCAACCAGAATTGGTAAAGCCAAAATGGTCCTCCAGACCTTGAAAAGTTGGACGTAATGAGGTCAGACAAGCCTCTGTGTAAAGAAGCTAAGAGAAACGGAGCTAGTGCCATGTTTTGCTAGGGCAATGGCCAGTTGAGTAAGGTCCTTGGTGATCTGAATGGCAGGGGCACACAACAAATATCTACACAACCACAATAGTAGAAACCCTATATGTTCTTGTTTATCTACATCGGTCCTTTCTTCCCCTAACATTTCTTTTAAGAAATGACCATGTGATTGCACAAAGGGTTTAGCCCCTTTTTGTTCTGGAAAATAAAAAGAAATCTCTTTATCCTGAAGGAGATAACTGATTTCGTCTCCCCCAGGCTTTAACCCCATTAAAAAACAGACATCTCTCAAGGTAGGAGCCATCATACCACAGTGCAAGTGTAGTGAATTAGTTGTGGGCGACCAAAGTGTAAAGAAGCAAAAAACAAGGCTCGGTCAAAAGTAAAAGGGATCTTACTGAGTTGAATGAGGTCGTAAATTCCCATCCTTTTCCACTGCTCTCCTTTTACTGCTGATACACGATCCACCCAATCGTTCCATTGGAGCATTGGTGGATGCCAATTTCTAACAGAGAGGATTGGTCTATCCCCTTCCGCTGTCAGATAGAGAGGTTTTGAGAAAGGAAGTTGTTGCTCGGCCTGGGGATAAATTGAGGATAATGAAGGAGGGAATCGATTAAGAAACGCTGGGCCAAGTCCTTTAGCGTTCTCTGTGACATCGATCAAGATAGTGGTATTCAAGTCGGTTGGGGCTAGGGTTTTGATTACAGATTTCATCATTTGGGTATGTGATGTTGCTTCGGGAGAGGGATTCTCTAAAGTCAAATCACTTTGCTTCTGTGATTTTGAAGCCATAGTTGCAAAAAGAATTTGGTTGCAGAAAGAGTTTCAGAAAGAGAAGAAGGATTTCGTTTGCAGAGTCTTGTTCAAATGAGAGAAGAGACGTGTTTTTCGTGGAAAAAGAGTTTTGGGAAATCTACTCTTGATATAACTCAAGAGATTATATGATATATGTGCTAAGTCCCAATGCAATGGGTGTATTCAAATTTTGGAAGCCGAAGGGTTAAAATGGCTACCAAAATTGGGAGGCATTGTTGACACCCATTTTGGTAATCGGGTTTGGGCTTTAATTGGATTTGATATGCAGTGATATGGTGTCATGGGCCAAGAGTACATGGGCTTGATGACTGATGGAAGCAAGTATTTGGGTTGCACGAATATTGGGCTGACTGATGGACTGATGGAAGCAGACTTGAGAATGTGGATTCAAAGGACTAGATTACAATTGTGATGGCATTAGTACAGTAACAGGGCAAAGTTGTGATCGGATAGGAATATTTTTTAAAATATTTTGAGACACTTTATGTCAGAAAACATTTGTTTGGTTAGTTTGGAATTAATCTTTATCTAGGAATCTCAGTTTGAGTTTAAAATTAGTAGTTAATGAGAGTTTTATTGTAATTGGAATTCTTATTGGTAGGAATTTGTTTACAATATTTTCTATAAATAAACAAAAGGGTTTGTTGTACTAGAGGTCCAGCATCCTCAGAATCTTTATTATTATTTGTTTGTTTTCTCAAGCTTTTCCAATAGTAGCATTCTTGCTATTTCTTCTTTCTTTCCTTCTATACTTCTCAATCTCTCTTTCTATCTATTTCTCTCTCTCTCTCTATCTTCATTCTTTCCCTTTCTTTTCTTGCTATATCTGTTTTCTTCTATTCTCTTAATCTTTTACTATAATTAATTCATTGAAAAATCCTTTTAACTAAGGCAATTCTCGAACTCTAAGAGGAGTATCATTGTTCTCTTTATCCTCGCATCGTCTGAAAGTCAACCCTTAAAAGAGACTACAAGTTGACAATTTACAATCAGACCATATATTTAATTCTGGCACGCCCGGCTTACCTCAAATTAAGATCGGCTCCATCAAGCCGATTTTAGGGTCAACATTTTTGGCACGCCCAGTAGGACCCCATCAGGTGAGCAAGTTATAGTAAAGATGCCTCCAAAGCTAAGAGGTTCGAAAGGCGTGAATACAGGAGATAATGCTGACGAAGAAAATCCACAGATCGGCGTAGGTGATGATGCCGACTCATTTATTCCATCCGACGTTTCTTTGAGTCGGGTACATGATGGTTGTCACATTCCTGCTGTTGTTGTCGCCAGAATGGCTGTTTGTGAGGTCTTGGATCTTGCTTTAGTTTCTTTAGATGATTGGAATGTCTTGCAGTTGGTTGATTGTATTTAGCCTTTAGTTTTTCTTTTTCTTCTTGTAGGAAATGGACCTATTTCACTTCCATTGGTTTGTAGAGTGGGAGTACGCCTCCACTTTAACCCTGTACTTTATTGTTTTATCCTTTTAATACAAAGCCGTTTAGAAATATATATATACACACATACATACATATATATATATATATATATATATATATATATAATAATCATTACGTTATTTGTACAGCTTCATCTTCTAATTTATGCAATATAGAAATTAAAATTTAATTAATGTTCTATTAATTGTTTTACTCAATAAATTGTATAAATAAAAATAATGTAACCTCGTGTTCTTCCCCTACTTTTTAAATACTGGGACATGTTAATATATCTGTGTCTTCCGCGTCCCTTTCTCATGTTCGTATGTGTTACTAAACTAAAACGGTACAATTTTAGTGGAATATCATCATGATGCCTAGTTACCTACCCACATATTGAAGTAAAAAAAAAAAAAAAAATCAGAATTGGACCAATTCATTTAAGAATTTACCTTATTTCATGACATGGTGAATCCTTTTGGGAGAGTAAACGAATATCAAGAGTCTGTTTAAAAGTAACTTGAAAAATAGTCATTCAATGTCACTTATATTTAAAAATTAATGTAACTAATTACAGCAGAAAAATCGAGGTTTGGAACCCAATAACCTCCTCACAAGTGAACTAATAAGACATGAATTATATACATCAGAAAGGAATAGGAGATCCTTTGATGGCGAGGAGACTTCTATTGGGGCTAAAGTTCTCTATTATTTGTTCTCTTTTTTGTGGTGTTTTTGGGAGAAATTGTAATTCCACGGGAGAGATGGTTGATTTTGTGGACCCTTTTTTGGCCTTGTGAGCTTTTATGGGATGTGTTCCCTGTTTGAATGCTTTCTAATACAATCTTACTTATCAATATATATCAGAAAACAAAAATTCAATCTGAACTGTTTTTCCCGTCTTCTGTTCCAGTCACCAATGTTCTTTACATGTATGACTCTCTAGCCCCAAGATGGTGTTACCTGCATTTCAATTGATGTTTTGATTTTTCACTCTTCCTTTCTTTTCTTTTCTTTTTTGATAAGTAAATATTGTATTAGACAGTGTTCATAAAGGGGAACACAACCCGCGAAAGCTACACTAGGCCAAATAGGGCCCCTAAACTTCACTCTTCCTTACCTTGCCGGAGCTACTATCCATTTCATCCCCCCCCCCCCCCCCCCCCCCGCGGCGGGCAACACACACACACAAAAAAAAAAAAAAAAAAGAAAGAGGACTGGCATGTAAAAAGTCTTGCACACAGTGCAGAAGACATACCTGAACAACTCTCCGAGAATCAGGAAAGAACGTATCTCCACAGCTCGCATCCTGCACTTTGCTATCAGCATCCAATCTGGCATCTCCTAGCTTATGAGTTAAAAAATCAGCTGCACTTGGTTGCTCAAAGCAAAATTTCTGGTCACACATATTATTTACATGTCTGCTCAAGCCATGAATATCATCCCATGCAGATGAACTAGTGCCATGATTAAGAAATCCTGAAAAGCAGCAAGGCAATCAATATTTTAAATCTTAAAAAAGTACATTCAATAAATCATACATATACATACAACATTGTTGAAATTGAATTAACCCCTCAACTTTTTTGAGTAGTTATGGTCAATTTTTTCTGCTTCTTCAAAGATTAAATTAAAAAACATTACAAAAAATTCAAAAAAACAAAAGATATATACATTATTCATTATAGGCAGTTTTCCAACTAAACATGTACCACAGACCATCTATTATACCTGAGGAAGAAGGGATGCAGATAATTTAGAAAAAGAGAGAAGAAATTAATATTTAACAGAACTCGTAGTGAAAGACAAGTAAACTGGAAGGAAGGAGGTGCCTGTCGACCAATGGTGGAATACTGGATTATGTTAGGAGAACAAAGAATGTACCCCTTTAGAAAGGCTAAAATAAAATTGTTTTCAGCAGGTTCGATAAACTTTGTCAATATATTTCATCTAAAAATTACACAATGAAGTTGAATAAGTCCCAAATAAGATGACTTGGAATAGAATTGCGGTGACATTTACAAAACAGAAGAAGTACTAAACATTTTGTAGTAACTGAAACTTATGACAGTGTAGTTTCTGTGTTACAGGGATAAGGAAGAGCATGCAAACGTTGCAAGGCAATTTTACCTGTAGCTTTTTCTGCATGCAAAGTAATATTATGTGATACAGAACCAAGCATTGGTCGAACACGAGAAGCGGTCCCTGGATCTTCTCCAGAATCTCCATCCTCAAATTCCGAAATCAATGATTGTTCATTCCATTCAACTGCATTTGGACTTGATGCATAAGATGTCTGACCTGTAGGAGTAGGAGAATATGTTTGCACCAAGCAATGTGCTGAACTAGTTTGAGAACTTCCGAGCAGTGATCCTGGCCGGATCTGCATTTAGCAAACGCGAGACATTTAATTTGTACCCCTGCATAGCATGTTTAAAATAAAATCAGCGTATGCCACGTGAGATATAAATTAGGAATTTACATGAAAGTCAACTAATCTGTTCCACATTCAACCAATGGATAACATAATTGCAAGTCCTTACACACTGAAAATAACAACCACAAGTTAACAAGCATGTATAAAGAGGCAATAGAAGCTAAAGAATGGGAAGTTTTGTGTCAAATTTATGGCCTTTCAATGAATATGGAACAATTAGGCAACATGACCTGATATATATAGTGCCTTCGGGTTTACAACTTCAAAGAATTTGATTTAATCCAAAATACTATTACATGATCTTCTTACATTAATTAACTAGCTAAAATCTATTATTTGTTACACTTACGCAGCATAATAAGACCATTTAGCTGGTTATAAGAATCACCTTTTAATGCCAAGTTGGAAATGTAGAATAGGCTACCTAACCAAATAAGTGAATTAAAAACTATAAAAAACTTCAAAAAAGAAAAACAAAATGTATAGCAACTCAGACTGTAATAGCCGTATTGCAAAGCCAAATTAGTTGCAATAACAGTTGAGAACAATGATATACACATACATATAAATATATCATGTGCATATATTGTCGAGGTGTGAGTATATGTTAGTATGAAATTGAACACGCAATATTACCATACAAGCATTCTCACTTGCATAAAAGCAAAAGAGAGTTTCTTTATCACTCCCAAAATTAAAATAACTCTGATTTGGTTTTAGAATTCCAAATGAGGCTGAAAATTAACGAAAGCATGAAGGTCATGCCTAGAACTTTGTGCTGAGATCTACCTCTTTCACTTCTCTGTAATGCACGAGAACAATGTTCTCTAAGGGTTTGTTTGGTTAACGTGAAATAACCAAAAAAGAAAAGAAAAGGAAAATTTTTAAATTTTTTACATGTTTGGTTAGAGGGAAAGTGAAAATTTTGGGGAAAATAAGATTCCCGCATCTAAAAATTTTTCCCAAAAATTTTCGCGCATAAAACACACGAAAATCCACTTTCCCACAAAAGCTGTGCACTTTAATACATTAGTTTCCTATTATACCCATATCAGTTTTCTCTTTCGTTCTTCTTCATTAAATTACAGACTTCATTAAAAAGGAAAATAGAGTTGTTCTTCACTAAAATTGCAAAAAAGTAAATAGGTGAGTTTCTTCTACTGTAAATTGTTTGTTTATACAATCATGTATTACTAATTTAATTGTTTCTATTTTTATGCTGCATCCAAAATTCATTTATTTTTTTTCTTTAATTATGGAATTATTTTTCTTTCATATATATATTTTTGGAAGCTATGAATTCTTAAGATATTTTTTTTCCATAATATATATATATATATAACTGTTGATAGCCAGGGTCAGATGAAAACTAGGGTTGAGGGTGGAATTGTCGGCTGTTGGCTATAGGAGATCGGGCTTAGAACGGCCTTGAAACTCACTTTGATTAATTTCACATCTCCGCCCGGCCTTGAAACTCACTTCGATTTCCTTCACATCTCAGCCTATACATCTACGTCCTCTCTCTCTCTCTTTGTTCTAACCAAAGCCAAAACTTTAGCTTTACAAATACTCCCAACGACCTCTTATGTTCAGATTTGAAGTCGAAGGCTTGAGAAGCCTCCATTCTCTACGCCACCAAGAATCACAGAGTGAGAATTGTAAACGAACCCTAACCCGTGATAGTAGCTTGAATCGTATAACGAGTTTGAGATTGAGGTATAGTTCCGTGAACTCGCTGGGTCGGCCTTAATGAGGACCGAGAAGGAAGAGGGGATTTTAGGTAATACTATAATGGTGATGGGTAGCAAAGAACATGGAAGAAAGGAGAGAACAATTTGTAGTTTGAAAGCAGAGAGAGGTATTTTTTATTTTTCCTGTCAATTTTTTCTTTTTTTCTTCATAATATTATATCTTATTTTCTTCTCCATTCTATATATATTTTGATAAAAAAATATATAGTATAATTTTGAGGGTTATCACATACGCTCTGTTTTTTTTTTTTTCCCTTTGTTATATGTTTCTCGTTTTTAAGAATACATACAAATTTGTATGACAATTTGCATCAGTAAAAAAAATGAAACACATGCTCATCAATATATGCACGAAAATATTAGACAAACATCAAATATTGTATATACTTAAATTTATATGTAGTGGATATGGAGACTCTATCAATTAGTACAATTTTGCTGAGAAATATTTTTTTGGTAAACTTTCTCTGTTTTCTGGATGTGGTCTTAGTGCTTTTGTTACGTGTGTCTTTTCTTGGATCATGTTTAGAATAACTTTGGGGATTCATTTTCAGTGTGAAATTTTTACAAGTAAATGTGTTCATCTCAGATAACCAAACACCCCTTGGAACTGAAGTTTTTCATTGTATTTCCCATGTCACTTGAACAACAGGTCCTCGGTACATTGAATCTTCCCATAATTGCATCACTGAGTTCCAATTTTTATAAGCAACTATGTTCATCTCAGATAACCAAACAGTTAAATCGCAAATCAAGCTTAGAAATGCATACTACCAAAAAACCACTCTCACTCCCCATGAGATAGTAATATACACCATAGATTTGGTTTCTTGAGGTAAAATGAGGAATTTGCCACATTTTAACAGTAACATGACTTGAAGTTTACTCCAAACTTGAAAATGCAAGACATGAGCCAAAGATATGATGAGTACTATCCTATGGAATTTTATGCTTAGTTTAAGTTGCTGTTTCAAATTACTGTAATATTTTCCTTCTGTTATTTTTGGGTTCCATTTTTAGTTTCTGATAATTTGTTATGTTTTAATTGTAGGATACAATATATTCTTCCAGATCTCAGCTACAGCTCATGAGGTATTTTTTTTTAGTGATGTCAAATTTTGTAAAATTAAATTTTCATATATGTCATCTAATTAGAATATAGCTTCCAATATTATCATATATAGATTGATTCTTTACAGGGAAAGATACACTTGTAGGGATTATAGTGTATGCAGATTAAATTTTACTATAAATTAGGTTTATATTCATTTTGTTTTATACACATTTTTATGTATGGATTTATGAATATAGAATATAGTAATATATTAATATAAATGTGTATACCAAGTCAAAAATGCCATCTCTTATTTCAGATCACTTGTAAGCCAATTTTGTTTTTTTAATTATTTGTTCTTATATGATCGCATTTTGTTAAACTTGACAGATGGATATGAATGATGAACATGATGAAGAACTTAATCTCATTGTTACAATACTTGTTGGCATTGTAGCTTATTTGCATTGGGTATACTATTTAACACACTTTGATAGGAGGCCACAACGTAATTGTTATTTGACTCAACGTGAATTTGTCAATGATGTCACACGATCCAATGAACATTGTCATAACTTATTGCGCATGAATGTGGAATCCTTTCAAAGATTTGTATATATATTTAGAGGAACTAGGAGGCCGAAAGACACTGTGCATTGTAGTATTGAGGAGCAACTTGCAATGTTTTTACATAATGTATCTCACAATTTTAAGAATCGTAGTGCAAAATTTTATTTTAAGCGATCCGGTGAAACCATATCTCGACATTTCAATACAGTCTTAGATGGAATCATAGGCATGGAAGACAACTTTTTAAAACAACCTACTCTTGGAACAGAGACGCCTAATGAGATTCGTTACAACAGCAGAATGTGGCCATATTTTAAGGTATTCTCTTACTAAAAGAAATTAACTTATTAATTAAGAATACATATTTTTTTAACTCACGGGTCATTCCCTTATTATAGGATTGTGTGGGAGCAATTGATGGTACACATCTCCTCGCGAAAGTTCCCATTGAATATGTAGCAAGATTCCATGGTAGAAAACAATGGCCCTCACAAAATGTATTAGCAGCATGCACATTTTATTTAAAATTCACTTATGTGTTAACTGGATGGGAAGGTTCAATAGCCGATTCTAAAATTTTACATTGTGCTATGCATAGAGGACATAAACTTACATGTCCTCCAGGTATATATATAAGTTAATAGTATTCATAAACATTTTTTAAATTTATAATAATTTACTAAAATTATGTGTTGTAATTTGTATAGGTAAATACTACTTGGTAGATACAGGCTTTCCTCTATTGGAGCATTATATTACCCCATTCAGAAGTACACGATATCACCTAAACGAAATACGAGGACGTGTACCTAGAACGCCAAAGGAATTGTTCAACCATAGGCATTCTTCTTTACGGAACGCAATTGAACGAGCCTTTGGGGTGTTAAAAAAACGTTTTCGTATCCCAGTGGATGAACCAATGTTTGGCTTTGAAAATCAAGTGAAGTTGGTAATTGCTTGTTGTATAATACACAACCACATTCGAGGAGTGATGCCAGATGATCCACTTTTAAATGATGTTGATCACGAGATTGGCACTCAATCAGCTCCTATTCATGATCCTGTTGACAATCAATTGATTAGGGCTGAAGATGGAAGGGAAGGAAAGAGAATTCGAACACAAATAATGAATGAAATGTGGAATGATTTTAGTAGTAGACGCTGATAGGATTTTTATTGATGTGTATTTTTTCTTTGTTGAAAACTTGTGTTGTTCTGATTGTTAGACAATTTTATTATTGGAATGTAAATATGTTTTTATTTTATTTTATCATCATAGTATTTAATTGTTGATTATATTAATTGTAGTTTTCTAGTCATTTTTCTTCCAACATAAATTTATTGCTTATTGAATATATTATTATGAGTATTTTATATTAGGAATGGAGCAAGACGGGTCTAATTGTCACATTGGAGATGCCAAGAAAAAGGGAAAGAATGTAATATGGTCAAAAGAGATGGATTAATGTCTTATTTTGGAACTTGTGCATCAAGCTAACGAGGGTTATAAGATAGATAAAGGTTTTAAAGATCATGCTTATACTGCAGCTTGTTCAGTGTTAAATTCAAAATTCCACTTGTCACTAAATCGAGAGCATTGTGTTAATCGCTTAAAGACTATCAAGAAAAAGTATAGATTCATTCAGGAAATGTTAAGCAAAAGTGGATTTGCTTGGAATCCAGTGATGAAAATGGTGGAATGCAGCGACGAAGTCTGGACTACATATGTTGCGGTATGTAGATGTTTAAAGTAAAGTTTTAATTGATAATATATTTCTTAGTTTATTTGTATAGCATGCTATTTTGAACATAGAAGTGTTTTTCAATTTAATTATTTATTGCAATATATGCCACAATTTACTTTAGTCATCACTAATTAAATGAGAATAAATAAAAGGAGAAAAGAGGTGCATTATGTCTGTTTATACTTTGAAGATACTATGAGCAAGTCACTATTCTAAGCACAACCCAACAAGAACTTATTGAATCTTATCTTTCCATAGTTTCATGAAAGGGTGCTTCCATATGCAAAACTTTGTCTTCTTGTTCCTAAAGTGACCAAAAAGAGTCTACCTGAATGTGATACTTGAAAGTTGCAATTAAACAATTTCGTAAAAAAACTTTCACAATTTCGTACCTTGTGTAAAATCTTGAGCTTGAATATAAAAGCAAAAAGTAGGTAATTGTTTGGAAGATTAAAAAAATTGTGTTGTGCACATTTCAAACCATAGTTACAGTACAATTATGTATGAAACAATTTCTTAAATGTGTGTCTCTCATGATTGTAAGGATAAATTAGTTGCTACTAATATTTAAAAAGCAAGCATAGAAAGATATACATGGATTTATATTGATATTTTTCTTTAGTTTTTTTTATTAAAGATATACATGGATTCATATTGATATTTTTCTTTTGTATATATTTTTTTTGTTTGAAAACATTAATTAGGCGAATCCCGATGCAAAAGGTTTACGAGGTAAGAAAATTGACATGCTTGATGAATTGGCTATAGTTTGTGGCAATGATTATGCAACTAGAGAATGGGCTAATTCAGCCAAAGATATAAATGCTAAGAAGTCAAAACCAATGAATGACACTGGGGAGGAATATACACCATTAGTGGACCTTAACGAAGAAGTTAACATGGATGACTTAGATGATGCAGAAGAAAATTATTGTGCTACTGAGTAAGGTAACGCAGGTAACATGATGAGTGGTATTTTCTTTAGTTTTGGCCCATACTTAAAATGCCTTAATTATTTGCACGTACATCTTCTATTAATATTACTAACCGAATTTTTATTTTATTTTATTTTATTTATTTATTTATTTATTTTTAGGTAGCCAACCAACTGGATGTAAAGATAACCAAGGAACTTCAAGCTCATCTAAACGTCGTTCAAAGAAACCGCGAACCATGGATAATGTTGCTGAAACCATGAGTGCAATTTCAAATAACATGGCAAGATTAGCTGATGCATATGAGAAGAGCAAGCCTTAAATAAATTATTCGGAACTTTATAAGGCTATAATGGATGTTGAGGAGCTTGATCTCAGTAGCCGAATGACTTCATTTGAATTCTTGAATGCAGATCCTGTCAAAGTGAGAGCTTTTTTAATCTATCCTCCAGAGATGCGATACTTATTCTTAATTAGACAACTGATACCAAATGGTCACTCTACTACTGACTAATGATTGAACTAAGTTAGCACTTTGAAAGAATACTTTTGAAGCACTTGGGAACCTTTGATTTGGTCATGTAATTCCTTTTTTTCTACTTAGTCTACTAAAGACATTGTCAAAAATTATGGTTAATGATTTGCCTTTGACTTGGTATTAACGGAAAGCTACTACTAGTGATGTGTATCATCATTATTTTGTAATATTTTTATTTTTTGTTCAAGGAAATGTTTTCATATTATATGCTGTAAGAAATATTATACTATAGAGAAATCGAAAAAAAAAAAAAAAACAATTCCTATGTAGCATCAAACATTATCTTAGAATAAATAATTAAATTTATTAACATAATCCATCCATGACTTTTAATTTTTAACAAAAAAATAAATAAAATTAACATAAATTAGATATATACATATATAGAAAACGAATACACTCTTATTTTCTCACCTTCAAAAATAAAAGATCGAGAATTCAAGTAAATATACATATACACACAATTATATAAACGAGAATGCAAAAAATTGTATTATGATATCACATGCTATTCTATTCCATATTTCACTAATACTATTCCTCTAACACAAATTTATTTATTTTTATACTATTTAAAATTATAAGGGTATTTTCGGTAAGTGGAATCATTTTCTTTTCCTTTTCATGCTATCCAAACTATCAAAATAAGATTTTCTCACAACTTTCTTCAAAAAATTTCCTGCTAACCAAATGCATCATGGAAACTTGATTTTCCTTTCTTTCACTTCACTTTCTTTCACTTTCACTTTCCATCAAAATTTTTCGTTTAACCAAACGGACCCTAACTTCCTGAAACAGGGAAAATAAAGCAAAGAATGAGAATTAGTGCTGAAAATAAGAATAGTCCTCCTATACAAGTGGAAAACGAGGATATGGAAAAACAATTCAACTAGTATTGTGACGTTTCTGATTTTCGGCAATTTTCATTTTTCTAGAATTTAGTCGCCGCAAGGGCATTTTTGTCCTTTCACATTTTTGCGTACGAGATTTTTAGTTAGGTCCATTTGCATTGTGTGTAATTTAATTACTATGATTATGTGGTGTTTACTTGGTAGTGCATGTAATTAAATGTGGGTGAGGTGGATAATGAAAGTAAAAGAAAAAGGGAAAAGAAAATAAAATTGGTGGGACCCACCATTAACCACATAAGTGGTCTAGAAACCCATTTTGGCTTCCTCATTTTCTCTCTCCCGTAACCCTCCCTTTCTCTCTTCTCTTCTTTATTCTTGTTTTTTTCTTTTCCATTTTGTTACCAAACTTTGAGTTTGGATTCCTTTCTCATTACTTAGAGATTTTGGATACCGTTTGAGGCAAATCGGAGAGCACGGCGAGCTCTACGCTTGAGTACTATCAAATTTAGATTTGGTGCCTCCTAGGGATTTTGAAATTCTTGACCCATTTCTAGGGTTTTGCTCATTTTGAGGTAGGGGTTTCCTAATTCACATTATTCATGCACCTTTGTGAGTTATTTTACTTGAATTGTGTTATAACATACTTATTGGTATTAATTGAAGCCTAAATTGTCTTGATTGTATATATGTGAATATATGAAAACTTTTCTTGATTGTGCTATATGAGAAGCATGCTTATATAATGAGTTTTATGCCTATTGTATTGTTTACATGCTATGAATGGTGTATGAAAGCATGCCCTATTGTATTTTGTGATAATCTATTATTGTCTAAATATTAAGAGTATGAGAACATGCTTACTTGTGTTGTGTCAAATTCCTCATTTTCATAGTATTGTGATCATGAGACATGCATGTACACCATTGGGTTGCATGAAGGGAAGAAATTGTTTTGAAATGAAAATGGGGAGTTTTGGGAAAGAATATTTTGATGAAAGTGTTTTGGAAAACCCGGTCACTATGGAGTCACCAACGGGCCGGTAAGTTAATGTAACTTAGAGGGAATTAGGGAGATTGCCCTAGCGTGGTTGAGCTATCTGGGCCCCATAATGACGCTGCGGAGTCACCAAAGGTCAGGGACAGTAGCCAATCCTTCTCTTGGAGCTACGGAGTCACCAAAGGGGTTTACATTAACAGTTTGAAAGCAATGATTCTAATTGTGAAAATGGGGAGCGACATCAGCATGCATTGTATCTCCATTGCATCTTATTATTTGTGTTGAGAATGATAACCATGTTGTATTTTTCCTATGTTGAATTGAGGATGATAACCATGTTGTATTTTTTCCTATGTTGAATGACCCCAACTCCTATTGGCCTATTCTTTGTTTTGGATTCACGGGGTCTCATGAGGTATGTCTTAGGCGCCACCTACTGAGCAAATTACTCACCCCACTATATTATTATATTTTTCAGGTCATGGCAAGAAAATGGTAGATGAGAATCCTCCGAAAGCTTGAAAGTTGTTAGAAGATGATTTTTTGCTATTTTGTATTTGGCCATTACATGTATAATCATAGTTTTTGGAGAATGTAAATAAGTTTGCAATTATGGTCATTGGAAAATGTAATTAAGTATTATTCACTCAAAATTAGTTGTGTATTTTAAGTAACGTGTTGTAAATTACGTTATTAACGTGGTGGTTGTTATTACAATTTGATGTTGAAATATATCTTAATTTATGTACGTAAGTGTAATGGCGTGGATGGTTGAGCATCAAGTGTTTGGTTTTTCTTTGGACAGTGGCAACCGAGTCTGGATAACCCAAACCAGTCGATGTGTGGCATCCCATACGTCGACCGGTATCCTGACAGTAAGCATTTTGAACGTGAATGACCTAAATCAGTCGATGTATGGCTCCCTATACGTCGACCGGTAGGTAATCTTGTACACGCTCCAAACCAGTCGACGTATGGCTTCGACCGGTATTACGTTCCAAACCAGTCGACGTATAACTCCCCATACGTCGACCGGTATCTTAGCAGTGGGTTTTCCCACTGTTCATACCCAAACCAGTCGACGTATGGTGTGGAGACGTCGACCGGTTTATGCCACTCAAGTAGTATGTATTTAATTTCCCAAATTACACTTTGGCACCCACTTGAAGTTGTAAATAATTATTTTATGACCCACTAAAATGCCATAATTATATTTTAACCCCCGAAAGGACTATATTGTCCTGAACCTTATTTTATTTACTATGTGATATAAGTTAATGACCGTTGTACCCTTGAGTCTCAAATTATTGAATTGTGGTACATTACCATTTTGCCCTTTTCGGGCTTGAATTTAAATTTAATGTGAAAAGACCGTTTTACCCTCGGATGATTTTGGGTCGAGTAAGGACCCGTTTAATGATCCGGATCCATGAGGATTTGGGTCGTTACAAGTATTCATCATATTTTATAGACCTACAAACTTAAAAAGTAAAATTCATCTTTTCAAGCCAATAATTAGAGAAAATCACATCACAGGGTGGTCGCTAAAGCTGAATAGAAGATAGTTTCTGATAAGAAGATTCAAAGTTTATACCCGTAGGTTTCTCAAATCCTATATTCCACAGGTTTCTCTCTCTCTCTCTCAATTTATTTCACTTCCCTTTTCTCCTTTGGGAATACTTGAATGGACTGCGGAGGTGGAAAATCAGATCATTCCACCGGTTCAGGTTTGCTTAAGCAACATGATGCTGCCTCTGGCAATCCATAAAGAACTACCAACACCAACAAAAATAAATAAATAAATAATTACATGTGACATCTTAACAGATCGACCAATCATTATTTAACCATAAATGGTTTCATTAACCGAAATGCCTACGTAACCCCTGATAGATAATGTCATCCAGGCCACCTCATAGGCTCATATAATAAAGAGAAAAATAACATCTAGACCATCTCAAATTAAAAAAAAAAAATGCCTATTCAAATGTGCTGGTCCCCTCAGGCTACTAAAGTGACATTAAGAGCAGTTAAAAGAAACAGCAGTTCAAATTATTACAGCTTAAACACAAGGAAACAGCAGCGCTCACTCGTTCAGCATCCAATAACTTCGTCGCTGAAAGTTCTCATTATCCTCTCCGTGGGCATAGTAGCAATGGAGAACATCAACACTGCCAACCTATAGAAACCAGATGAGAAAAATAAGCATAGCAACAGAGAGTGAAGATTATATAGCATGTCCAAAAATGATCTAATCCATAACATGTTTCAATGTGAACAGTCGTTAAAAAGTAGAATAACACGAGGCCTTGCTATCAAAATCAAAATGAACTACAAGGACGACCTCAGCACTAAGAATGCAGAAAATGGAATGCCATTAGCAAAACACCAACCACATGGTTATTATGATACGCTACAATTAGTATAGTCAAAGAACGTAGGCAATTAGACCGGTGGCTAAGTTAATGCGGATATAGACCGTGTGACAAAATAATTAATTCATATTCTACCTTCATATAACCTCTGAATGTCCATAAAAATATAGACATGTAAAAAGTGTCACATATAGCTAATAAATTTTGAAATTCATCCACAGCATACTTTTGACCTTTGTACCCACTTAAAGA